CTGTTTTCCACCCCCTGGGTGTGATTTCACAGCGCGCCCCCAAGTCACACCCCCCCGGCAACGGCCACCTGAGCACCTCCCTAACATCCCTGGCATTTCAGGGGCCAAAACTTCCCTCCTTAAGCCCTCATTGCCCTGTAAAAAAAAAAAAAAATAACCTGGGTTTATTCAGTATCAAATTTGGAAAATTGTAGGTAGCTGCTAGTTGGTTATGTTGGATGGGGATTAGGTCCCTAAATAGGCATTTTTGCACCTAAATTCCTCTGTGGAGCTGACTTTGTCTTTTCATGCAGAAAATCACAGCCCATAGTCAGAAATCCTTCCCGGGACTGGGCTTTGGGCAGGAAAAGGCAGTAAATAAGTAAGTAAGTAAAGTAAGTAAGTAAGTAAATAAGTAAGTAAGTAAAAAAAGGCAGCAGCTTTGGCTCCTGTGATGGTGACAGTCTGTGACCCACGGTGGTGGGGAGGGCCAGGGCTCTGCCTGAGGCCTGGAACCAGGGTAACGACCTGCAGGAGAAACTGGATAAACTGGAGAAAAAAAAAAAAAAAGAGTGCTTGGGAATCCCATAAAATCCCAATCTTTTGTGCTCGGCTGCTTTTCCACAGCCTGGGTCGGTGGGAAGCGGAGCAGCACCCGCAGGCCGGGCCGTGCACGGGCCCCCTGCCAACTGCTGAAAGGGAAATCAGAATTAAATTAGAATTAATAAAATAAGGTTAGTGCAGAGGAGTCTCAGTCCTTAACTTAGGAAAATTCCTGCCAACCGGGGAAAAGGGTCAGGGGGAGAAGCCGAAACACACAGTAGCAAAGTTTTAATATCAACCCCCACCCCCCCGAAAATACCAAATACTTTCTTTTTGCCATTATTTTTAATTGGCTGAAACAGTGTTTAGCTGGCGCTAATATTATGAGCAATTAAAATTATTTTAATGGGACTACTTAGGATTTTTATATTAATCCTTTATATTAGTCCTTCAAAATGACTCGCACTTTGGCCTTTCCTGGGCCCCCCCAGACACGGTCCTGTACACCTGGGTCAGCAGCCTTTGCTTCTAATTATGATATTAGTTATTTTAATTTTTTTACGAGGTAGGATGATGTGGCGAGTGCTGAGGCAGGTGATGGCCACCTTTTTTTAGATTTTTCCCATGCAATAAACACTTCACTGAGGATCCTCAGGGAAGGGTGAGATAAAAAAAAAATATATATATATATATATATTTAAAAAAAAAGAGGCCTGTGATGTGATTCCCTGAGCTGTGATCCCCAAGAGGTTTCATGGAGCTCGGTGTCGGTGCCAGAGCTCTCCCCAGTGCCCCCCCCAGCCCCAAACTCAGAGTCCCCAGAGCCTGGTGGCCAGATGGTGGGAAGGGGTTTGCCTTTCTGCAGCCTTGTCACAGGGCAGAAAAACAAAAGAAAAAAAAGAAGAAAAGAGGAAAAAAAGGCTGATTCCAAAATGCTTTCCTTATTTTGAGAAAAAATGTAAGACCAGAGCCAAGGGAGTCTCCTCTTTTCACAACTGAGGGGCTCCAGGAAAGCTGGGGAGGGACTCTGGATGAGGGAGGGGAGCCCTAGGAGGAGGGGGAAGGGTTGGACCCTGACAGAGGGGAGATGGAGCTGAGCTGTGGGGAAGAACTTGTTTGGTGGGAGGGTGGTGAGAGCCTGGCCCAGGTTGGCCAGAGAAGCTGTGGCTGCCCCATCCCTGGAGGGGTTCAAGGGCAGGTTGGAGGGGGCTTGGAGCAAC